GATGAATTTTGTTGTTGGATTACCAAGGTCTAGGAGAGGTGATGACACCATTTGGGTGATAGTTGATCGACTGACAAAATCAGCTCATTTTGTACCTATGGTTGCTACTGCTGATACTTTGGCTAATCTCTATATGGATTGTATTATTCGTTATCATGGTGTCCCAGTGAGTATTGTATCTGATCATGATCACAGATTCATCTCTTGATTTTGGAAAAGTCTCCAACAAACCATGGGAACCGAGTTAAACCTCAGCTTAGCTTATCATCCTCAAATCGACGAGCAATCAGAGCATACAATTCAAACCTTGGAGGACATGCTTAGAGAATGTGTTATGGATTTTGGGAGTAGTTGGGAGGAAGTGTAGATCACCCTTATATTGGGATGAGGTTGGTGAAAGGATCATTACTGGATCCGAACTTGTACAAGCTACAATCAAGAAGGTGGCACTAGTGAGAGAAAGGTTGAAAGTAGCACAAGATAGACAAAAGAATTGGGCCCATTTGAAAAGAAGACCCTTAGAGTTTCAAGAAGGGGATAAATTATATCTTAGAATTTCACCAATGAAGGATGTGATGCGATTTGGGAAAAGTGGAAAACTGAGTGCAAGATATGTTGGGCTTTTTGAAGTTTTGGATAGAGTTGGAGAATTGGCATACAAGTTAGCCTTGCCACCATCTTTATCAAGAGTTCACAATGTATTTCATGTTTCGCAATTGAGAAAATAAGTATTTGATCCAAGTTATATCCTGGAGTATGAGCCATTAATGGTACTAGAGGATCTAACTTATAGTGAGGAGCCAATTCGAATTGTCGATCGTAAAGATCAAGTGCTAAGGAGAAAGACAATTCCCTATGTTAAAGTTCAATGGTCCAATCATAGTACTCGTGAAGCCACTTGGGAACTCAAAGAGGAAATGCGAACTAAGTATTCACATTTGTTTAACCAACGAGGTACGTTAAATTTCGAGGTCAAAACTTTTATTAGAGGGGAGAATGTGATAACTATGTGTCTTGTAGAGAATTTTGTGTGAAAAAATACTATTTTGTGGTGAAAAGTGAAAGATGTTAAGTTGAGTGACCAATGTGTTAATTAGTGAAATTTTGAAAGAATAAAAGTGATATTGGGATTTCACTATTCATCTTTGCCAAAAAACTTCTTCATCTTCTTCATTTCCTTTTTTCCTTCCTTCTCCAACAAAACCCTTTCTTATTTCTCTCCTTATTCCTTACAATCAAAGGAGGATTCTTGACAATTCAAGCACGAGTAAGGAGTGAGGAGTTAGGAGATTCTACTTTGACAACTAAGCAAGGTATTTTCTTGAAACCTTGAACACGATCTTGGTTTTCTTTGATTGGGTGATTGGATAGTATTTGGTTCAAATACTTGGTTAGCTTCCATGGCTATGGTGTACAGAGTTTGTTTTGGTCTCTATTTTCATATGGATATAGGGCTATCATCAATATAAAAAGAAGAAATGTTGAGGGAAAGAATGACTTGAGCTAGCTATTCATTTTCAAGATTATTTATGTATTTACATGACTTTGGGAACTGAAATATGTTGATTTTGACAACTATGGAGGTTGGAAGATGACTTGATATGGAAATGGAACGTGATTATCGAATTTGGAACTTGTTTTTGTCTTGAAACGTGCTAGAAATCCATGGCCATAATCCTCAGACGGATTGGCTAAAATCCTTGGATGGATTGGCTATAATCCTTGGACGGATCAAATTTTCTGTATAGACATATTTCAATGCTTTGGCCATAACTAGGTGTAAAAAAATTCAGATTTAGGTGCCGTTTGTTGCGTTGGAAACTAGATTCAGAGAACTTTAACTCTATATAAATCTCTTGCTCCGTTTCTGTATTTTTGAAAGTTAATGACCCTTTAAAGTAAACCCTTATGTCTTGCTTTGATGAGGAAATGATCTTTTATTAGGAATTAGTGGTTAAGGGTAGTATTAAGCCCCTTTTATTAGGAATTAGTAGTTAAGGGTAGTATTACGCCCCTTTTTATGATAATTTGGAGTAGTTTGGTATCTTTAAGATTGTAATTGAACATTTTATTATTATGTCTAGGTGAGAAAGGTAGCCATTTTTTCGATTACTTGAACTAGCGTGGGTATCCATTGGATCGAGGTAAGTGGTGCATGCATCCTTTATCTTTTGAAAGCTACTTGTCTAATTGCTAAAATCGCATGAGCAAGTATAATTTGTGATATTTGTTATTACTCTTACCATGGTCATTTGTGAAATGAAATGTTATGTTTGTTGAGCTCTTGTACAAGCGACTTTTGATGAGACTAATTCCTCACAAGTAGTCGGTATATGAAACGAGATATCCGCGTTATAGTTAGCAATATGAAACGGGCTAACCGTGTGGTAGTTAGCACTATGAACTGTGTTAACTGGTTAAGTTTAAGTTAACAACCGGATATCCTGGGTCAATTGTTGGCTTATGGTTTGAGCTCCTTTATGTGTGTGATGTATGATATGCCACTGAAATGTTTATAGTAACCATGTTCTTATAAAGTTATATGTGTAAGTTAATGACGTTTGAAATATATATTATGTATATAACATGCTCAGGCCAATAATGAGATACGTGCGCTACTTATTGAGTGAGATTTCGCTCACCCCTTTGTTATAATTATGCAGTTAATGATGAGTTCATTGAAGTAGACCTTGATAGCTCTTGGGGGTTGTAATGGACATGGAGATGACTTTGGGTTAGAGGATGACTTTTGTACTTATATTTAAGATACCTTATGATAGGATTTGAAAATTGTACATATTGTCGAAGGTTTTATTTTGGTAGACGCAAAATTGCTGTTATAGATGATCTTGTATTTGTGGATTTAGAAAATTTATATAAAGGTGAATGTAGTTGCTTAGGAAATTTGTTGTCTTACGCCTTTAGCGTTGTCTAGGGCACGGTGGTGCTATGTTCTGGGCACGGGGCTTGACAATTATACCCAAAAAATCATTATGAGAGATAAATTCCACAAACCCAATATATATGGGAGGCTAATTTACACATATACACGTATATGTGAGAAAAGAACAATGATATTAATAATATAATATTAATAACACCACAAGAACAAGACTATTAAACTTTCAATCTTCTCAAGTGGGTATAGTAATATGACTCTACTTATAGATTACATGATTTGATAACTACAATAATTATCTAATACAGTACCAATTTCTAAATAATTATTTTAACTTTTTCTTTAATTTTTTCTAATCAAGGGGAGGGATAGGATTTAAGAAATTGGGGGGGGGGGAGGAACGGAGATCTGAACGTAGAACCTCTGTGTCCTAGAGCCTCCAAATCTTGAATGTACTACCAGAACTTAGCTCTTATAGAACTATTAAAAAAATTTGTGTGACCAAAACACTACTAAATAATAGTATAGAAAATTCAAATTTTTAGCTTTAATTTAATATGCCAACATTGTTTCCCTTAAATCAAACTCTCTATTGAATCAAGTTCAGCAATAATAATCTCATTTGTAAATTTCATTAATAGAAATTTGAATTCTTAATCTTCAAAAAGATTTGTTGCTGCAATACTCCATACATTTGGACAGGTTCATCTCATGTTTTTACCCAATTCACTCATTTAACTTTTTATATAAAAATTATAAGAGAAATATTGCAAAAAAATAAAACATGGTTCTCTTTCAAGAAAATATGTAATATTCTCTTAATCAATTTTAGTTGTAGCCTGTCATTGGATTTTTACTTGTACAAGTTTTGGATGCATTATTATCTCATTAGTAATATACAAAAAAAAAGCCTATTTTATTTTTCTTTCACAAGAAAGAATAACTTTAGAAAGAAAATGATAGGAAAAATGATAAAATAGAGGAGCAGTATAAACTAGAAAATGCTCAAATAAAATAGACAAAAATGATAGAAAATTTGCGAAATATTAAAGATTACCTAGAAAAGATATTTAATCACAAGAAAGGAAGAAAATTGAGCAATCTTTGATCTAAAGGTAAGTTTCGATCAATTTGAAGAGTGAAGGCGGGAAGTGAAAAGTTAAAATCATAGAGGTTGTTTATGCTTTCAATTTGAGAAAATAAGAATATTAAAGGAAGGAAGCAAAAAATTAAAATCATAACAGTTGCATATGTGAATTTGTAGAGTCTCGATTTATGTGTTGTTTATGTATTCTTATAGTAGGTTGATTATATTATTTTAGTTCTTAAACTATAAAACTTAATACAAAACCATTTATTTTAAGTGTAGTATTAGGAGGGAAACGAGTAGCATTTTTTCAAAATTCTTAACGTGTCAAAAATATGTTAGTCATATCAACCTACGGATTGGCCCAATACAACCCATTCTGTTTGCGCGTCATGTTCGCGTGGATCCATTTTTGACATAAATTATTCCGTGTCTTGTTTCATTTAGGATTTTTTGTGTCGTGTTTACTTACCATGTCAAAAACTGTCACCATTAGCAATATCCACAATCAAGTTAATAATTTTCACACCAATTTTATGGCCAAATTTTGACCAATTAAATACTCCAAAACCAACATAATGGCCTTACGTGATCAATTGAACAGTCCCGGCAATTCTTGTGTCCTAACTCTGACAACTCACCCAAAGATTAATTTCATGCAAATAGGATTCGATACCAGATGTAGAGCCTAATAATTATACCCAAAAAAAATTATAGGAGATAACTTTCACAAAACCAATATATATATATATGGAGGCTAATTTACATGAAGAGGACTAATATCAATGACAAGACTCAAACTTTTATTGTTTCCAACCAAATACATATCATGACTACTGACAAGCATAGGAAATTACTTAATACAATACTAGTTTCTAAATAGTAAAACTATCCTAATTTGACGCCAATAAAACTACTAAAAATTAACTTGACCAAAATACAATTAAACGATAATATAGAAGATTTTATTATTTAATATGCCAACTATAATGAACAACACCCTGGAATAGGATGTTAGTAAGCTGACTTAAGCACGGTCGACACAGTCGACACAGTTGCAAACCTAGACTTAATGAGCTCAATGATACTTTGATTTACTTGAAATGCTTTACTCAACACGAGATCAGGAATCGAAGGCGTGGAGTTAAAAAGAGCAAGGGGGGCGAACTGAATCCCTGGATTTTGACTGTTGAACGAGGCGAAGAAGCGTGCGTTCTCGTGTCCAATATTCAGTTGGAAGTGCACTAGCCCAGGAGGAATCACAAACAACTCTCCTGAAGTCACAATTTTCCAGTAGAAAACGTTTCCGGTTGTCACAAAGCCTACAAACAGTTTTCCATCCATGACTAGAGCCAGCTCGGCTGCACGAGGGTGGACGTGGGGTGCATTCAGCCCTCCAGGCTTCAAAACCACTCGGTTCATTGACAGCCCTAGAGTGTTGAGTCAGGGAAATCGCTGAACATCTTGGCGAGTGACATTGACGTCAAAAATATTGAATTCTCCTGGACTTTGTTGGAACCCATTGGCGAAGAATTCTTGTGAAGATACGTTATCAGGGTTTTTGCACGGAAAGCCATTAATGTATAAAGAGGAATCAAGATCTGCAACGCAGAAATCTTGCAATGGGCTTGGATCAGCAGAATGGGATGGCAGTGGCAGGAGAAGGACTAGGGAGAAGAGTATCAAGCATAGTAGTATCTGGTAATTCATATTGTAGGCGCTCTGGTATGCCATGGAAAGTTTAATTTCAGTTCAGCTAGGTATGAATATGTAGTTTGGCTGAAACTAAAAGTAGCTAGGCAGGAATGTGTCCGTAACTGACAGGGAGGATGGTATTTATAGAGCCCCAAAGGATGACTGATTTCAAGTTTGATATAATTTCTTATTGCTGCATCAAAATCGCATTGTGTAAATGAGTTCTGCAGTCGTACGGAAGTATATCCAACTCACCTTTGTTTGTTGTACCCTAGTGCAGGTGGGGTTTAAGCCTTTGCAGGTGGGTTTAAGTCTTTTCCTGAAGAAAATCATGATAAACTACAATAACAAATTTAAGAATATAATAACAAAAGTACATTGCTATTAATTTTTACCTCCCTTTATCTCATTAATTTTATCAATATAATAATTGATTGAAATTAAATGAAATAAATTTAAGAATTTAGGGTACAAAGTGCTTGAAATTAAGAGTTTAAGGTGTAAAGTGTTCAAAATTGAAGTTCATCACTACAAGAAATATATTTTTCAGTGACAAAAATTTATGTGACAACAAAAATCTTGTCACAGATAACCTAATTCAGTGACGACATTAGGTGTCATCACAGATGAGTACAGCACAAGCATAATCAGTGACAACATTGGAAGTTGTCATTCTCAACTCGTCACGAAATAGTTGGGGCGCATCTCATTTGATGCCGCGGGAAATGATTTTATGACAACTCAAGTAAAGTCGTCACAAACGCTCTCTCTACAGTGACAACATAACTTGTTGTCATTGAAAGTCTACCCGGTTCCAATTTTGTGACAACTTTTTGCATCACTGTATACTACAGTATTTTCATCAACTTTCACTAATTCTACTATGACACCCTAATTTTATTTTTTAGCCCCCAATTCTTTTATATTAGCAAAAGCACTGAAGATATGACACCCTAATTTTATAATTTAGCCCCTATTCATTACGTATTAGCAAAATGTAAATGATATAATAATAAACTAGTTTTAGATATTTGTAATTTTTGCTAAGTTGACATAATAGACATGTCTGAGCATAAAAATTTTTTCATGAATTGTTTATTATTACTTATAACAACCCCCAAAAATCAATAACTGAAATAATTTGAAAAAATGTAATTGAATATAATTTGTAGTCTAATGTTAGCACTGTGAAAGATTAGTATAACGTGTAATACATCATAAGTAATAATTATTTTCATATGGAATGGGTATATACGAAATTAAAATTATTCAGTAAAATATCTGTCGTGCAATAAGATTGAGAGTTGTAACACATTTAACAGAATATTTGATTACATGTTTCTTTTAATTTATTATAAAAACTAAGTAATAGACAAAGAGTAGGATAGCATGAGTAAGAAGTGCTATACTGTATATAAGCAATTCTATAGTATTTTCATCAAATTTCACTAATTCTACTATGGCACCCTAATTTTATTATTTAGCCCCCAATTCTTTTATATGAGCAAAAGCACAGAAGATATGACACCCTAATTTTATAATTTAGCCCCTATTCATTATGTATTAGCAAAATGCAAATGATATAATAACAAACTAGTTTTAGATATTTGTAATTTTTGCTAAGTTGACATAATAGACATGTCTGAGCATAAAATTTTTTTCATGAATTGTTTATTATTACTTATAACAACCCCCAAAAATCAATAACTGAAATAATTTGAAAAAGTATAATTGAATATAATTTGTAGTCTAATGTTAGCACTGTGAAAGATTAGTATAACGTGTAATACATCATAAGTAATAAATATTTTCATATGGAATGGGTATATACAAAATTAAAATTATTTAGTAAAATATCTGTCGTGCAATAAGATTGAGAGTTGTAACACATTTAACAGAATATTTGATTACATGTTTCTTTTAATTTATTATAAAAACTAAGTAATAGACAAAGAGTAGGATAAGCATGAGTAAGAAGTGCTATACTGTATATAAGCAATTCTATGCATGTTAAATTTTTGAAACATGTTTTATTGTGTAAGTTTTATTGTAAGGTAATTTCTTAAATAATTTGTATATTGAGTTGTCCAAACCCAAAAAGATGTATATAGACACAAACAAGCACACATATATATACATGCACAAAAAAGAAACCAATATCAAATAATTTATTTGATATTTATAGATGAGATTAAGGAAAACAAAAGAGATTAAGTATGAAAAAAGAAACCTGAAAAAAAAAATTTGACCAGGGAAAAAAAAAAGAAAAAAGATGTATGAAGCTAAAGGCGTGAATCCTGGAATCTCAAAGACGTGCTTAGATTCCAAAAAAAAAAGAGCGCCAGTCTGAAATCTGAAAGACGCGCGAGGCGGGTGGCTGAAATCTCTACAAAACGACGTCGTTTTTGGTTGTTCACAGACAAACAAAAGTCTCGCCGCTTCTCTCTTCCAACACTTAGACAAATTTTATTCTCAGTCTTTCCTTTCTATGGTGAACACCGAAAAACTCTGGACCTCAAACACCTTCTGCTTCCGCAAAATGCTCCTCTAAAGCACCATTGACGAGTGCCAATCTTCAGGTCAAGCTCGCCGAAGAAGCGAAGTCAGAACACTTCCAAGCTCCCTCCTCGTTCCGCGACTTCAGCTTAGACTTTTCTCCGACCCCCTCTTCAGCTAATTGTGCGGTATGTGTTTTTTTTTTTGCTTTCAAAAGCTGCTCAGCCTTCTATTGTAAAGACTAATTTATGAACTAGATTGTTAATTAGCAGTGGGGAAGGTAATACTCTGAAACACTTGCGATCTGGAGTATGAACAGTGTTAGGGATGGTCAGAACCGGCTTTCTTTGAGGAGCTATGAAATGCGAACATTTTTTGACTGCATTAATTTGGTTGGATGAAAGAGAAATTAAACAATTTGTCGTGCCATTTAATTGCTTCCTTAAGGGGAAGAGAACTTGACTGATTTGCCTAATTTATTTGGCTGTTTTAAATGTAATTTACTCTCTGGTTCTCTCTCTCTCTCTCTGGTAATCAAGCATGCACTTTACTAGAATTTTGCACGTTTGGGAACTGGCCAGAAAACTGTTTTGGGGTTTCAATTGCCGTTAACATGTTGTTGTGCAATGTGTGTTTAGTCATACAATGGTTAATCTTTTGTAATAGTTAAGATTTTCATATCTGTATTCCCCCTTTGTTCTTCATTTCCTTGCCATTTTCGAACCTACATTTTAATTTTCCCCTATTTTTGTTAGCTCATTATCCAATGGCTTTTGTCCTGCCCCCGAAAGGCTTCATTTCCTTGCCATTATCCGAGGCAATTTGGGCTTCTGAAATGTTGCATTTTCAGTTTGTATCTTGAGAAATTTCTGTGTACGGATGAGGAAATCATGGATTTAGGCCACCCGGGGGGGGGGTTGTAATTGATTTAGGCCAACATTTTTTAGTTGTTCTTTTTCTCCTGTTATTCGTTTGTGATTAGTGAATCTTCCAAAAGGGGGGGGTTTGACTTGGTCTCAAATGGCAGATGATAACTTGCAGCTACTAATTTTTATCATTGATGTTCCAATACACTGCCTTATTAAATGCTGCATTCACTCTTGGCATGGAATCAGTTTGAAAGCTAGTTTTCAGGGTACCTTGTGGAGTTAATTTGAATGACCTTGACTAAACATGCTGTTTTGTTCTTTAATTGCTTTTCAGTGCCTCATGCTGGGTTTGGCTTAGGTTTTGAAAGGTTAGTGCAATTTGCAACTGGTATTGATAATATAAGAGATGCAATACCTTTCCCACGAACGCCTGGATCTGCTGAATTTTAGTGTCGCCGACTTCAGAGATGCAGTAATTTTGATTCAACCTTGGTAGTCGGTACCCATCAAGGCTTATCCTCCTGAGTTTGGCATTGTATTTTGATTAGAAGATTCAAGTTCAGATTCGAACGGTAAAAAATTTTGTTTCGAGTAGTTAGCAATTTGTTACACAAGGTTCATAACATAGTATATGCGATACCTGTCATTCATAATTAGCTTTTTCCATTTGGAGGGGAGAGATATTGATAGATCAATCATTTGTTTAAATTTGATCATCACCTGTGTCTTTTATTACATGGATAAGTCAGATGCTGTAGTTGAATTTATTCCAGTGCCTTATATTGGTGTTTCTTTGTTAGATTTGGTGTCTGCTTCACTCTGGTTACAATTCCTATTAGTGTTTTGACGTATTGTTTGGGAACCCAAAATGTTGCTAGAGCTATTAATAACTGGTACTCTGCTGTCTAAAATAACTGAGTTGATTGAATTGAATGAAGCACGTGCTGTCTTTTCCTTGCAGCTTTTAGGTCTGTTGAGTAATCTCTGATCATTCTGCATTGAAGAAGCTGACTCTTATTCATGAGGATTTTGGAGTCAATTGATTGATTAATCTTGAAAGGAGTCTTCTTTCAATTTCTTACCTTTTTCAAACTCTGATAACTCATAAATGTTCTTATCTGTACCTGTAATATTTAAATAGATATTAATCCTTGTTATAATCCTAGAGACCTAGTTCAACCCATAAACCTGATATTAACGTGTTTAAAAATGCATGACTTTTCCAATTATTCCTGGAGTTCCAGGCACAATTCAAGATGATTTTACCCGTCCTCAATCCAAGCCTCCTATCTTTCATTTTTGTTATCAAGATGTTAGAATGCCAGCGAACAGAAATTTTGCTTTTTCTTTAGACCTTTTGGGTTTATATGGCTGTAAAGAATGGTTTATTCTTTCCCCCATAGGACCAAAAAAATAAAAAGAAATGGTTATTAAAACTTTTGGAGCCACTGGAGAAAGCCATTGTTTCGTAAAAATTGCAAAGACTAAAGGTAAATCCAAAATTTTTTACAATGTATGATAAAAGTTCTCTAGTTTATATATATAATACATTTAGCGGTGGTTATCTTTCATTTCACAGAAGGGGGTTGTGTTGTTAGGAAGGCTGCTAGGCTTAATGTTCCAAAGTGGTCCCATCTCAATCCCGGTGACCGAGAAGGCATATACAGCACGGTTACGGTATTTGTTGTCCTGCTAATACTCTAATTTCATCCAGAAAGTATGAGAGATTTTACTGCTTTAGATTTGCTTGGTTTTAAGTAGATTGCACTGTTATTGTAGGATGACTTTCGATTTCCAGAGCACATCACCTCAAAAACTGCTATTAATAGGCAGTTAAACACACAATATCGAAACCATCGATATCGGCTTCACAAGTATTTCCAGAGTTTTGAATCAAGGCAAGAAGCATTGAGGCAAGTTCCTGAAGGTGTGAGTGAAGAAGATTGGAAGTGGCTGGTCAGCTACTTTGAAAATGATGAATTTAAGGTTAGCTTGTCAAAATAACCTATCCTTTTATTAAATTTCAGATTTCACTTCACAAATTTGCTAATCTTTGTCAGTTAAAATTTTCACTAATTTGTGGCAGAAAATTAGTGAACGTAACAAGCAAAATCGTGCCAAAAATGACTGCTACACTACTGTTGGCACAAAATCGCTTGCAAGAGTTGTTGAGGAAAAGGTAATCTGAAACCCAGCCAACAGTTGTACATGTACATCCTTTTTGTCATATGACTGAAAATGAAAAAATTGAAAATTTGGACAGAAAAGGAAAGAAGATGTCGAGCTTTCAGAGATAGTCATGTTTGAGTTAAGTCGAAAGTCAAAGAAGTCAGGGGGGCTGGTAAATGACAAAGCAAAAGAGACCTTGGTGAGCTGTTTCACTTGGATAATGGATTTTTAAATTATTGACATCCATTCCAGCTACATAATGATCATATTTTTTACTTGCCTAGGACAAAATGAGGGAATTGCAGGCTACAACTTCAATGACTAGCAAAGAAATATGCGAGCAAGAACTTGGTTACGTACCTGGACACATCCGCGGTCGTAGTGCAACCAAGAAGCAAGCTGCTGAGGTAGAACGCTGGAGGCATGAGATTGAGGACAGCCGAAAAAGAGCAGATGAAGCAGAAAAACGAGCTGCAGAAGTAACTCAACAATTCACTGCTCAGCAAGAGTTGATTAAGACCTTGCAACAGCAACAAACAGAAACAAGAAGCCTGTATGATGAGTTAGCTAACCAGCTGAAAGACTTGCGCAAATAAGCAACTTCTGTGTCAGGTATAAATAAATTGTTTGCTCTTCATTTTTAATGCAATTGGGTTGTTTGATGTCAATTTAGTTGCTTGATGGCACTTGAAATCTGGTTCCACCAAATCTGATTCCTGTTTAATGCAATTGAGTTGCTTGAGACTGATTTAGGTGCTTGAAATCTTGTTCATGTCAACCAAAACTTTAGTGTTTTTAAAGCAAATGTGTTTGAACGTTGGGATGTATTCCACTTTTTTCTTTGTCGAACTCATCTAAATTTTTCTGTATCAGAATTTTTTTTTGTGCTAAGGAAAAAGAGGCACCTGTGATTGTGTGTGTGTGTGTGTGTTTTTTTTTTCTTGATATACTGTGTGGTTCACGATCATCTAGGCTCTCAATGATTTTCAAGCGGATAGACCAGCTATGATTGTAAACCTGTAAAGCAAGCAGGCTACTAGTCCTGTTGGAGTGTCTAACCTGGATAGTGAACATGTTCTTGTTAATAGAGATTAAGGAGTTTTGATGTGCACATAATATCCAATGTAAACTAGAAAGTTCTCTTAGAACTCTTGAATGTGGTTCAGTTGTACTCCACCACATTGGAGCTTTCTTGAAACAAAAAATATGGCGGATTGGGCTAAATGAATATATGCATTTGCTTAGTTGATCCTTTCTTTTGGTGGCGTTTTTGGTGTTTTGTGTGTTTTGGGGGGGGGCAATGTAGATTTACATAGTAAAGCAAAGCCTATACTAGATACAAGTAGATCAGCAAAAACACTTCTGGGACAGGTCCCATTCCAGAGCTAATTTCCAAGGTTACTGTGTTAGTGGAATCTTCCACCAAGCTACTACCACATGTTGTATCTCATCCACAATTAATGGACCTCATAATACTGACAGCTGAAGTTGCCTGAGCTCTGAAGAAAATCTTTCAATAAATAATAAACTTTGCACCCCTAAATCAATTGTCATTCCATTTTTTAAGTGATCCACCCTAAAAAAAAAGTTGGTTTTTTAGCTTCCTGTTTCATCTGTGATCAAGAATAGTTAAAAGTTTGAGGTTCGGACATGCTCTTCATGAAAATGCAGAATAATAATCACAACAATGTTGTTTGATTTATACTTTGGGTAACTTTCGAGATTTTATAGTTGTACAAAGTTTAATAGTGCCTTTATCAAGCTACGCTTTTATTCTTGGTCCACAAGAAAGATTCAATAGAGAAATAGATTAGTTGTATACTTTCGTAGTACGCAATTAACTGTCAATGGTTAGTTTTTTTTTCTTTTTTTTTTTTTCAACTTGTCTCATTTTATTGATAAGAAAAAGAATGTTTACAAGGAGTGTACGAAATATGATCTATGAAGGGAGGACATAAACAATCAAGCCTTAGTGAGCACCTCACGGATCCGAGGTACTCCGTGACGATCCAGAAGAGCCTCTCCTCTGGGCCTGATAGGCAGAGCCGCATCTGAGATGTAGTACTGCTGCCCTCCCAATTGCAGAGAAGCCAATGCGTCCGCCACCGAATTGGCCTCACGGAATATATGGTGAAGAGATGCACCCATCCGCTGGATCAAATGTCTGATTTCCTGCAGTACGATACACACCGGCCACTTCGACCTCATATCCGAGCAAACTAGCTGAACAGGATGTTAGCAAGAGTTCAATATATATCTAGACTAAAGCACTGAAGATACCAGAGTGGCTAGAAGCCAACATATCCTCAAGTTGAACTACTGCCAATTGTCAAACATAATGGACAATTTAGGAAACAATAAGCTCTTCATGAGACTTTGGAAGTTGTCAGCACAGTGACTACAAGGATGAAAGAACTCGCTATATATTTATCTCTAGTTTTTCTAGAATTAGTGTCTGCAAGTGTAAAATATGCTGATACTTCAGAAGCTCCATTTTGAAAGACTAGATACACATACATACATGTTTAATTGAAATCAGGAGACAGAAAATCCATTTCTTACAACTATTAAGGATTGCAAGTTTTCTGAATGAGAAAACAACAATGCACAGATTGCTTGAAGAAAGTCACACAACCGTACAAAGCACTGAACACACAATTTAGCAAGCATCAAAGAACTAAAACAGACTAACGTCAACCTCAATAATACACGTCTAGAGTGGAAACTACAAGTTGTTCTTCTTTCTCGAGGATGTTAAGTAGAATTCAAATCCAGCAGATATTGCAAAAAAGGACAAGGCAAGACTAACTGCTCCAAAACATTGAAGCCACAAGTACATTTTGCCAAAAGGTCTGCTGCTCCGGCAGAATGGAATATTCCGTAAAAGAGCTACAGAAATAAGACCATTTTGGACAAACTCTCTGATCCTAAGAACTTGAGATTGCTTGAAGGCGCCAGCAAACTGACATTAAGAAATAGGCCATATCATTATGAAGGTCGCAAGTTAGGCATACCATGAGGCATAAGTTCAAAACAGAGAGGAAAGGGGGGGAAAAAAGAAAAAAGATCTGAGGAGATGAAGAAGAAAAACACAACTGCATAGAATTTTAGGATAGAATTAGGTGGATTATCCAGATGCAATAACATAGCCCGTCAGTGCCAAAAATGATAAAATGGTGAAAAAACTTTAATTTTCAAAGTATTAGCAAATCTAGCTCTCACGAGGTAGGACACGAGTAGAGGCTATCAATGCGGTTTGGTTTTATAACTAGTTCATACGTTCTGTAGCATTGCAAAGAATCACTTCAGTAAACACAATGTCACCAATTGCCTCTCAATAAAGTAGTTTTATGCGTTCAAAGTTTCAACATCCATTGTCAATTGGCATTGTGAAGGAATTATTGACTGGTGAAATGATTATTAAAGGCATTTCTACTTTTAATTTTCCCCTTCCTATGAAAATTTTACCTGCATAACCAAATGCAATATGATTCTGAAGGCACTAAAATATTCCATCATTATACTAAGACATGTTGCAAATAAATGTTGGTTTGCCAGGGATAATAATTGTTGATGCCTCATCTTCTTCTTATCAGGGGAAAATAAAGCTCCCAAGTAACAATTTGAGAAGAAGCAACCCAAAAAAAATTGTTATAACACCAACACCCAAGCATTCTCAATTTCAAAAGGTCAATAATTAACCCAAAATTTTAAAAAAAAATCTAAATACTTAAATTTCACAAGATGTCAAAAAGTAAGCAAGATAAACTTAAGAGCACAAAAACAGTACACCGAAAATATGAAATTTCTCATTTTAACATAGGCAGGAGAACTTTTCAAACTTGCCACATTACTTGAGCACCTTTAAGAATCAAAAACAATAAGTCGAAAACACGAAATACTTCAAGCAGACTCAGGGGAGGAGAAGCTTCAAAATGGCCATATTACTTAAAGCACCTTATCGAAACATTCAAGACTAGTGCAACTTCTCAAGAATGGATGTTCCAACAGCTGGATAGCTAATGGTCTTTGTGCTGGATTTTCAGGGAGGCATAGGCTGACAAAGTGACCGAAATTGCTGGCGAACTGTCTCGTTTCTCCCTAGACAAGCGGTGCTTCAGTCCTGTAGGCAAACAATTGTTTTGATTGATGTATAACAACCATTAAGCCTGCTCTTGTCTTGACAGGGATGCGGTGATAGGCCAACTCCAAAGCAGTTAATCTGAGGAGCCATATGTCAGCCTTCGAGGAATAAGCCTCCCCAGTATCATAGACTTCTGAAGCATGACTGAATTCATCAATCGTTGAATTTATCACTGAATTTTTAGCATTGTCAGAATTCCAAGCATGACACAGAGTTGCATCATGACCCAAAGCAATGCATAAAGGATTCCTACAGAAAAAATATCGTCTGGACTGGCACGTTTGAGAACCATATGATTTTCATGGAGGATACCAAGACCTTTTAAGGGTTCCATCCGAACCAGGGCAATACAATCGTCGGGTCAACCATCATTTCATCGATTCCTTGAAAGAAGCCTCAATGAACCCTTATCAAATAAGGGCATCGAGGCACAATAACTTGTACCGCTTGCAAATTCGTTTATAACCCCGATGATACACGGATGGGAATTAGCATCCACACTGATCTCAGCTGATTGCTGGAGCAACTCACTTCTCCTTCTCCATTACCTTCAAACCCACAGAGTGATCAGTGCTTTTGATGGGCTCATACTTGGCTTGGTAAACCAGACATTCCCCCTGGTGGTGGCCAAGAATTTTCACCAGTTTGTAGGTGCCCTTACCATAAAAAATGCGCACCTCAAAGATTTTCCCTACCACCTTTTCAAATGGCTTAAGGTCCTTAAACAAATAACCCTGAATAGTTCTTCCAAACTAGGTCTACCAGCAGGGTTAGAATTCAAGCAGGGCCTGATTACCTCTTGAGACACTGGGGAGAAACACAAATTCTTAGAGGGGTTCTGCCCCAAATTCCACCTCACCAATATCAATAGGGTAAAATACAGTAAACCCCCTTATGGTTAGGGAAATAAACACAAAACCCTCTCATTATTTAAAAACACCCACTTAACCCTCCCTCGGTGCCTTGGATTTCTTTGGATTTTACCTGCTAACCGGCTAGGAAGCTAGCAAGTGACATTGATGCGACCTAATGGCCGCATGTGACTGAAAGAGACTAGTTTTCATTCCCATTTTTCTCTCCATGTCTCTTACAAATGAAACCCACCATAGTTGTTATTCTGCAAATGGAAAAATTGGACAGAGAGACACAAAATTAAGACAAAAATCATAAGAGCGTAGCTTTGGAGGGCACAACATAGCTTTGTTCAAGGAAAAAAACCGAAAATGTCAAGCTAAGGTACCAAAATTGATGATGTTTTTGCAAGAATAAAGCAAAGATTAAGATAGTGGAATCTAAAAAACCATCAAAAGATATGTTGTATTTTGTATGTGAAAATGGTGCTTGTTCATTCTGGACATGATGCAACCCAATTAGTAGAGAGGGAGGCACTAATGAATCATCCTGCCAAAATCCATACATGGAAGGAGTTTCACCAACTGGATCTGCAATGGCGGAAAGATTTTTCATCTC